CGCTGATCTCTTCTCTCTGATGACCAATGATGAGACCAGGGCAAATGGCAGGAAGATGCTCCAGAGCAAGTTTAAGTTGGACATTAGGAAAAGGTTCTTCACCCAGAGGGTGGTGGGGCACTGGAACAGGCTCCTCAGGGAGGTAGTCATGGCACCAAGCCTGACAATATTCAAGAAGCATTTGGACGAGGCCCTTAGACACATGGTCCAAATCTTGTGACTGTCCTATGCTAGGGCAAGAGTTGGACTCGGTGATCCTTGTGGGCCCCTTCCAACTCACAACATTCTGTGATTCTGTGATAAGACGAAGATGTAGCTGACTCCCTGACTGCAGGGATGCATTTTTTGTTCTCACCAACACTTGTAAAAGTCAGCTTGGAGCTGAGCCCCTTACCAATAATGGTTTTCACAGAACACCCACATTCTACTGATTCTTTTTCAACACCCAGCATGCTTCTATATTGCAAGGACTGTAAAAGTAAAATATCCAAAGATTATACTCTCTGAGTTATGTAATTCTGAAGCCACAGATGATGGAAGTATATTCCCATGGCTAAATTTGGGAACCCTTCACCTTTCTGTACAAGAATGGCAGTACTGGGGCAGTGACCTAAGTGCATGTATAGGGAAGAGTACAAGAATCCCGAGTGCTCTTCATGTCTTCAGCAGATTTGCAACTTGGAGTTTTCCTGGAAGCAAGCAGGGACTTTGTGTATTTAGCAACTCTCAGTAAATTTCTTTTCCATGAATTTCCTTGGTTTTCTTCTGAGTCTGTGCAGACTTTTACCACCCAAAATATCCTGCAGCAGGGAATTCTCCAACTAGACTAAATGCTCTGTGAAACACCCTGTATTGGTTTGAACCTTCTAGTGCTGTTGATGCCTCTTGCTGTTGGAAGAGTTGTGAATAGTCCAGCTGAATACTGTTGAACCCTGTGTAAAACCATCAGGAAAAGTACTGCACTTCAAATCTGTTAGGTCTTAAAGCTGCAGGAGATAGTCTGTTTTGTTAATCTGCATTATTTCTTGTTCCCTTGAGGCCTTGTGGTTCAGGGGTGTACCATGGAAATTTTCATGTATGCTACAAAGTAGTCTGTGCTGTCAGCAGTCTCTGGAAGAAACTTCTGTCTCCTTTTACGCAATACTGCCAGTTCACTGCCTGGTCCACGTCTTTTACGCTTACTGTGAAAGCTGTGGTATTTGTTAAAGTATCTGGATTATTGATTTAGGCATCTGGATTACAGATACATATGACCTTTGGGAGGGCAATGCCTTGTTCTTACCCAGTTCCCTTAGATGACACTTGATTCAAGTTAAGCTAAGATGTAAATGCAGGTCTTACGTTCACAACACCTGAAATGGCTACAACCATTTTAAAAGGCACACAGGGGGAGAAGAAGGGAAATCCACATTTAATCTTCTCTCACTAAAGCTGTGCATCAGAAAGATCTTCATGCAGCTGACTTGCAGTTTCTATCCCGAAAAGGCTGTAATCAGCAGGGATGTCGGCTTTTGCCTTTGGCTGCTTGTTGTTCTTCAGTGAGCTACGTGCCTTTTGCTTGATTTTTATTTTTTAAAAAATTCTGTATCAACCTGTATTTGGAAAAGCACTCTTAAAAAAATCAGAACAAACAAACTGTGCATGGCTCATTAGTGCCTCTTGAAACCAGTCTTGATTAGTATTAGCCACTTTTGGATGAAAGCAGGTTTGAGGTGACTGATTCTTAATCTCTCCTTCCTAGGCATCTTTTTAAAAAAAAAAACAAGCAACAGTTCATAATAATAATAATAATAATAATGATGATGTTAAAAATCATCTAATGTCCCTGTAGTTCTAGAATAATAACTGTACATTAAGCAGAAAACCTTTCCAAGTTTGACAAATATATATCTCTAGTCAAGTAAATTCATAATTATATTGTTGGTTAATATGGTAGCTTGTACTCTTACTAGCTGGCTGAGAGTTTGACCTGGATGTGAAGTTTATTTTTGGCTCTCTTGACCCTTTGGTCTAGGACTAGTCTATAGGTGGAAGATAGGATCACTTATTCCATGTCTGACTTCTATATAGGGAGAGAGCACTTTAACCTGTTAATAGCAAAGTATATAAGCAGTATATTTCTGATTTAAGTTGTTGTGGTATTAATAAATTATATTCACTTTGTCTAGTACCAGACCATGGGACCCTTTGAATGACATGATCCAATTTGAAAAAGATGGCACCATCCAAACAAAAGTTCGACACCGGACGCCAATGGTATGTTCCAGTTCTGTTAGCGGGTACAGCAGGATTCAGGGACTTGTCTATATTGCATTACGTGTGTAAAGGTCATCAAAGCGTTGGGAGTGATGGGAAATACTATTGTTATCCTACAAAAATGTAGCTTACCCAGTCCATAGTCTTTCTGCTGCGTCCTAAGTGGTAGAGATGACTTGATTGGATAGGAATATCAAATATGTAAATTGGAACAGTTTAATGATGTGTATCATTCCCTTAAATGGGAAGATGCACAAACTTCAGACTGGTAATACATCAAAAATTTTAACTTGAACTTTTATTTGATATTGTGCTTTTAACTGTTACTGTTAGAATGTGCCATTTTGCTATAGTTCTTGTTTCCTGGAAATAATTCATAAATTTATCAATTACAGGTTAATGTTCCAAAAATAAAACGAAAGCCAACCAGTCAGAAGAAAGGGGAGTGTGGTTTCTCATCCCCGGAGCCTGATAACCAGGATTCCTCTGGGAGCGAAGGTAGGAAAAGATAGATTTGCATACAGAGATAAAAAAATTATTTGACAGTGGAACAGAGCTCTGTAGTCACATATACTCTTCTTATCTCCACGTTTGTATTATGAAATAACACATTCCTTAGGGCACAGCATTATCCATTGTGAAGCACATTCTGGAAAAACAAAAGAAGCAGAATGGCTTATGGTTTTAATTGCACACTTTCCTGTTCTTTTAAACTTCAGTATGTAGTGTAGCTAGGGTTAAGTGCTGCACATATTTAGCATTTGGGGAAAAAATTGTGTTTGTACACTCTTTTATTTCTTAAAACAAAATGAATTATTTCAAATTGTAGATCAGTATGTTGCTAGAAGGCAGTTTTGTGTTGTTGACGCTTCAAGCGCTTACCTTGCTCTTCTTCTGTACTTTAGGTGGCTGAAGTAAAGCTTTAGTTTTCAATAGAAGCTTAGTTAGAAAACTTCCTCCTCACTTTTGCAGCTGGTTGAGTTTGTCATTAGTACTTTGTTCCTTTTTTGACTTAGCAGTCACTTCTGTGAATTGCATCTGGCTTTTGTGTCTTTCTAGCACAACTTCTGAAGCATAATACAAGAATAAGGAAAAAAGGGGCAGACCTTGGTGAACTGCAGAGTGCCATTGAATCTATAAAGGAAACACAAGAAGACATCAAGAGGTAGTATTAAATTAAATGCTTTAAAGTGGTTTAGAGAATACTAATTTTCTAGCTTTTTTTCCTTGGAGGCTGGTATGTATTGTTCTGCTTTAGATCCTTGATGTCTTTAAACTACCCTTCTTGCCAAATGTTGATTGCTCAATGATGTTTCATAATTTTCCTCAAAAACTGTCTTCTGTAGGGAGCTTCAACATACTAGAAACTGACAAATTGTCTAGATTATAATTGACAGGATTTTATTTTCTGTCTTTACAGAGACATTATGGCTCTACGGAATAGAGTCACTTCTAATTCACCACCTGTGGACTACCATTTCTTGCAGTTTAAGCACTATGTCTTCATTATACTCGTGGTTCTGCTGCAGCTTATCATTAATTTCTTGTTCAAATAGGAAGTGTGAACAAGGGCCTTTCTGAACTGGAATGATCGAACTGTTAACTGGGGACCATATTTTAGGTTGGACTTTAAGTGATGCAATATTATCTAAAAGAGCCCTGTAGCAACAACTTACAGAACTTGCCTCAGCATCCATGGTTCAGAATCATACTCCCACCTACCCAGTTGAAGTAAGAATTGTGTAAGTGCCAGTACACTCTTGCTCCTGGTGTGTGCCTCTGTCTCGCAGACATACGACATCAGCCTTGTGTTTTATATTACGTCATATGCTGTCCTGATGAATCTTCACCACAGAGTAGATGAAGTTAAAAATTCAGAGGTCAGACCCTGTAGGTAGGATGTGATTCCTGTTAGGACAGAATGGTAAACAAGCATACTTTGTTATTTTTAAACTTACCACTTTGTAACAAAGGAACTTTTGGAGTAGCCAGCAGTTTTTGTAAATGATGTTGGGTGTTTGGAAGTAAACTTTTGTTTAAGGTCAAACAAATACATTATTACACAAAGGTCATGAGCGTTAGGAACTGGCAAGTAAAAAGCTGAAGTCTTTGGGAATTCTGCGATGTAATGTCCTTGATTTGTTTTGGAAGTATGACAGTTTTTATCCTGAATTATTATAGTGGCTTGTAAGCCAGCTGTTTTATTTTTATAGTTTTAAAACTTCAGATTCTTCATAAAAACATTCCTGCATCTACTGTACAGAGCACATTTTTAACAGTACAGCACCTGGGAAGGGTACTGTCTTGGTCCACTCTTTCTCATGAATTGCAAATGTCAAGGTATGTTTGTAAGTCTTGGTAAATCCACAGCTTTGAATTTACATTTGTGTATGGCCATGTCACAAGAAGCAGACAGACTGCTGATACCAGGACTCTCGTCTTATTTTTGAAACAAAATGTGAAGATGCAGACGTGTGCTTAGTATGTAGCTTGAGTTGAACCTCCCAAAAGGCAGATGATGAAGAACAGAATTTGGACACCATCATGAGTTCACTTGCAAATGAAAACATGTGTGTTTACAAGGGGAAAGTCTTCAGAGATTGTGGGATGTCTGGCCACACACATGTCAAAACAAATGAGAGTGAAACCCTAAGTCTCTGTTAAATTCCTGCTTCCTGCAGTATATACTACCCAACAGAACACATGGATGCACCTATTCATTATGCTGTAGCCATACAAATTAATGTGCAGCTTAAGTTTCAATTTAAAACCAGGGTTTATAATATTTTTATTTCAAGGAGTATATGCATGTGTAGAACTTGTAAAATTCTGGCAAAAAAATTTAGTGTCAGTTTTTATCTGGTGAATCCTTTATGCTAGCCAAGTGTACCAAGTCAAAAGGGGGCTGTAGTATTGTAAAGGTACTCTCAGTAAGTGAGACAACGGGAGGATGAGCGGCACAATGTGAAGGGCAGCAACTTTGTTTCCAGAGGGTCGTCTGAAAAAAATCCCCAAGTCTCTAAACAGAAACTGAAGTTGTTAGCCATGTATAAAAATGGCATAAAGAAAGCAGAATGTTACAGTATTCATTGAATGTTCTCAGCCTGGAATTTGGCCATTCATTATCGCGTTCAGATGTCAGAACTTTACCTGTCTTAAGATCCATTACAAGCCTTTAAGTGTACTCTGTACATGAGAGTAATACAAGAGGAAATGAGTGACAATTTGGGCAATAACTTCAATCCCCTAAAATGTAATTGCTAAATTTGTGGTGCTGAAACTCTTGACTGATAGTTACAATCTTTTATCTCCCTTGTAAATAGAAATGTCTTTCTGCCCTTTCATGTTGATTTTTTTAATCGCTTCTATTCAAGATCAGTTAATAACACAGTCTGCATGTATTTTTACACGGACTGCGTAGTAATAAGTGTGGATTTGACCCAGCTGGCTGGCAGTGCAGTGTTGGACAATGTCAGACTAAACAGACACTCCATATCTGAAATTCATGCTCAGCTCAAGATAAGTAAAAGACTTCAACAGAGTGAGACAAAATGCTTGTGTTTATTTTCCTTTTCAGCTTATTTTTAGAGTTTAATTATGTTGTAAAAATGGTTTTACTGATGGTCCACGAAGGTAAAGGATACATGATGAAACTTCTTGAAAATTAAAACTGCAGACTTCTGTATGAGTGTATGATTAGATAACTTTAATTCTAAAAAGTGTATAAAAAACCTAGTATTTCCTGTTTTGCTGGGTTTTGTATGGTGTTCCCTCATGTGAAGAGAGAAAGAAATTACTTGTCTGATTTTTCCAGTACAGGTGGTCACAGGTGTGTATGAAACCTTTTCTTTCATGCATCACAACTGTCCTATATAACCAGGATGCGTAGCTGATCTTGAATATTACATACTTAAGACTGAGCTCTGCACACAGTAATAAAAATTAATTGTGCAGTTTGCAGATGTGTGAGAGCTGTGGCCTCTTACTAGTTTTTAAAGTTTAAAACAGCACTTGTTTCCACATTTGATTTACAAATCTTGTTTTCTTTGTTTGTTTTCTTGTACAGGAAATATTTTTTGAATTTGTTGCCATGTGGTTTTGTTGTTTTGGTTTTGTTTTGTTTTTTTTAAATGCATTCTAAGCCTTTAATTTGCCATTTAGGTACAGATAGCCTAGTTAGGTACAGATGACCTAAGGTAAGAAAAAGTAAATATGCCATGTGAAATGTAGCAAGTATCAGTTTCAGCAGTAGATTATGCTTTTTGCATTTCACATGTCCATTCCTTTTAAATAGTTGACATTACTGAGGGTATAGCCTGGTTGTTTCCTCACCCCCCTCAATTAAATCTCATTAATTCTTTGAAAGGCTGTCCCTTAAAATGTAGTGATGGTGGTTTCTTTTTTTTTTTTCCTTTTTTTTTCCTTTTTTTCTTTTTTTTTCTTTTCTTTCTTCCTCCTTCCTCCTTCTTTTTTTCTTCTTTTTTTCTTCTTT